CCCGTGTATAAACACTAATTCCAGGATTTTCGGACCCTTTATGTCCGCCGCTTTTATGCTCACCGCCTTTATGTCCATCGCTTGCCGCTTGCCAAACATGTTCAATCTTTTATCATCTAATTGGATGAGTCACCTGGAGCGAAACTATTATTCTTCAATGAGAGATTTCTCTGTTTATATATTTCCAGAAGGAAAATTCTTAATGTTGACAAGAATATTAAAATATATGTATCTCGTATATTATATAATACCAGTTATTACCTAGAATAAATATGATGGAACTTCTGGCATTTCTTATATTCGTTTTTTGAAATTGGAATTGGGGTCCTACCTACAAACCATACGTATTTTCATTATATGGGTTACCTAATAAACGTACCTATAAGTCGTATTCAAAAATGCAATCAACCCATCTAAAACTTCTTTTGGTTTCATCTCCAGTGCTAAAATTGTCTGAATAGCTTCAGTGCTACTTTTTATGAATGAATTCACTATTCATTCAACCATTCATAGTATCCATGTAGAAGTGCATATTCGTGTGAGGGCGCTCGTATCAGTGAAGAAAAATGATCCAAAATTGCGTCTGCAGAGGTCCAGCAAAAATCACTTTTGATGGTGATATTTTGAATGGATCCTTGCGAATTTTTTTGACAACGAAGAAAGTGAGGCATCTCTCGAAGTACTTTTCAAAAAAAATATACACCTAGTGAGAAAAAAAATAGTGAATCTGGTCAATTTTCTGGAATTTTGTTCGAGTATTTTTTTCAAAATTTTGAAAAAGTACTCCGAGAGATGCCTAGATCCAACCTTCTAGAAACGATCCGTGAAAAAAAATCTTAAATTTATTCAGCGAGCTTCGAGTATTTTGATTTCTGCCGTTCCTTGTTTCCCCAATGATCGCTCATAGGGTTAAACCCCTCTTAAGGTTACAATGTTAGTGAAATTTGATCAATGAATAGGTGAGTGTTTCAACTCTATTCTAGGCAATGCCAAGAGATGTAATGTTAGTGAAATTAAATCTATGACAGCCTCACTGTGGCTAGCAAGTGATAATAATAAGTCACCAGGTGACTGGGAATAATAAATGTAAACAAAATACCTAGGTTTCCTATGAAAGGAAATAGCAGCTGTTATTTCGTTTCTCACAAATAGGAGAACACTTATTACAAGGAAAACAAAGTAAGACACTAGTGAAGATCTATGTCTTCAACTCCTCAATGGTAATCAAAAATTACATCACAAGTAGTACTCACTGAGGGTCATCCATCATTATACTCTTACTCAAAATTAACCATTAATTGTATGGGTGGCTTCCTCATACTCCATAAATTGCATCAGCAAATGGTATCCATTTCATTCATATACATGGTATTCAAATATAAACAAAACAGGCAGTAAACTTCAACAGCTGACGAACACTTGTTATTGCCCCATTAGCAATAATATGGGTTGAAATTTGGGAGGCATCGAACCATAAGTCCCAATTGTGAAATATACATCACATTTAACCAAAACATCCACAACAGGTTAGGTTATCATTAAATTGCGGCCATGACGACATGTCATGTGCGCAAGTGCATACTGCACATCATCACCAAAAATTGCAAATGGCTTCAGTAGAAACCAAAAAGGCCTGAAAAGAATATCACGTTGATCGATGTGTTTTCTTTCTTTATAATTATGTGAACATTATCAAATGACTCAAAATTAACCTTATATCATATTGTACATACCTATAGGTTTTAATCGGCCTATTTCCAATATAATTGGCATTTCGAAATAATGTAAAAATTTACTTGTTGCTCTGCCAAGCGCCAGTCGAGAGAGAACGATCTCCGTCAATCTTGCTCGAATTTCGGCGGGGTCAAGATTACACCGTCGAACTTAGACACAGAACACTAAGAAATCAGAGCGCTGGGTCTAATTGAGTGCTATGTAAATTGGCCTTATCTAGTGACTTTGTATTTAACGTGACATCGATTGTCCACACTGTTTTAATAACACAGGTGAGGCAATCATATAGAAGTGAATTCTCTAGGTTGATATTTTAATTGTTATAAATAGAAGAAGAAGTCTTGAGTTTGTTGACAAAAATAAGAATAAGATAAACACATCCACAAGTGAAACTCTTAGCAGGGAAGCATATCAGCATCTTCGCGTATGACTCGATCACAATCACAGGAAGAAGATGAAAGTTATATACAGGTTGTCCTGACAAATTAATGCTGAAATATTATTTCTCTGTTGAAAATACGATGCATACCGAGTGTAACTCCGAACTGATTGTACTGAAAAAAAATGAATAGTAGAAGGGTCACTTAAGTTTATGTAAGGTTCAAGTGGACCGTTACAGAATAATAAAACATATTAAATATTGTAATAAAACTCACATGTGAGAGCTCCTATAAAGCTATAGTCAAATATTTCTAGAGTATATATATGTTGTATAAAACGATCCTTTTAAGAATTAATCAAGAAGAAAAACATAATTTCAGAATCTCTGTGAAAAATATTCCTCGAGGTTGTATAGTGGAGTCTGGACGAGCAACATTTTCACCTTAGTCTGGAATTTTTTGTTACAGGGAATTTCTTTGATGTGATTTGGCAAATGATTGAATATCTTTATTCCGTTATAAATAATGGAGTCTTTGATCATAGTGGTACGGGGTCTTATCAATTTAACTTGTCCGTTCTGTCTTGTGTTGTAATGTGATGAAACAAGCTCTAAAGAAGCTATGTTTTTTTGTATCAGAGCCGTTGTTTCCAAGATGAATAAACCAACTACTGTGAGGATGCCGCCATTCTTAAATAAACGTCTACATGAGTCTCTTGATTTCGCTCCACACATATATCTTAGGGCACGTTTTTGTAAAACAAACTTCTCTGGAATAGCTGATCATTGCAGACTCCCCAGAATGCAATTCCATATCTCAAATGAGATTCGATGAGGGCAAAGTATGCAGCTCTAGCAGGCACAAACCCTAATTCTGCAGCAATAGCTCTAACAGCGAAGCATCCAGAGGCTAACTTTCTACACATTAATGTTACATGTTCATCGAATATTAGTTTTTTGTCAATGTATAAACCTAAAAACTTGGTCGATGATTTATTTTCTATGTTATCGCTTCCCATACCTAAATTTGGTAGATTTCAATGGAAGGATAGAATATTCGTTTTCTTTATATTGAGCGATAGAAGATTTGAATTACACCAGTCTTTATGTCCATGCATGCGATGTCCTTTGCGACACTGGCGACTGCTTCTGAGTAGGGTCACGAAAAATCAACCCGAGTCAGTGATCGAGTTAGCAACCAACAAGTTTCCGAACAGAGGTAGGTGACTCGCTTTAGGACACCGAACGTTCAGGTTCAGGAACAGTGCTCTTGAGGAGTTTTCTTATTTGAACCTACCTCACCGCGATACCCAGATATATATGCACGCAGTTTAAATCTTTATATTATCACAGTGATTTGACACGCTGACAAATGTCAACGCAAAATTTACATTATCCATAAAATTTTATTACTTGATGGCATTTGCGCTCGGGGCAATCGGGAGCGGAAATATTGATTAAAAAACGGTCGCATTGCTGTCACAAACACATTACCTGATGTAACAGGAAGCACAAAAGTTGTAACCATTCTCCTATCGGTAAGGAGGTGAATAAATATTCAGAGAAAAAATGTGAGCCCAGAGCACAATATATTGTGATATTCTTTCAATCTGAACTAAGTGAAATATTTCACTAGAACTGTTGACGAGTGCAGTGCGTACTGGGCCGAAAAAATGTGAGCCCAGAGCACACTATATTGTGATATTCTTTCAATCTGAACTAAGTGAAATATTTCACTAGAACTGAACTGTATCAGTTAATATCTGTTCTTTCGAAAGACTAATTCGGTACTGATTCAGTTCAATTCAAGTGAAGTACCTCAATAAGTTCAGAACGAAAGAATATCACTGTAAATTTGCAATAATCAACTCACTACCGCTAGAAATGCTGTTATCAATTCAAAAGTGAAGTATGTGTTTTGTAAAATTTGTATATACTTCGAAGTTGGGAACCAACTTCCCAGAAGTCGATACTTGTGCGGGGTTTGGATCACGACTTGATGAAATCGATGTCATCTGCGATACCGAATTGTTTAGATATTCTAGGCACCAATGTTAAAAATCAATCTTTCCTAAGATATATCCATGTTTTTGTGAATTATTTTAGCAGTGAAAAAAGTTAACATTTACGTATCATTAGCGATGCAGAAATGTTAATCTTTCGACAGTTTTCCTAAAAATATTTTGTGTAATTTGAACAAAAAGTCTCATCACTGTGACACTCGTCACTGATCAAACATTATAGTGGTATATCCTTATACAATCATGAACTTGTCAAAGCTTACAAGGGAAAATATTTCAGCAACCTTCCAAAAGTACCCACTTCACTTCCTGAACAATTTTTCTCTCTGATCTAGTCTGTAATGTACATATTTCCCGGACTATGCCAGAAAGAGTTACATTGTTGCTGTCGAAAATTAAAAAAAAAGCTATTCAAGCAATAATTGGTGGTGCTGAACATCATCTTTTCATTCGAAAGCAGTATGATATGATAAGTATAAACAAAAATTTGAACGCTAAATTGTGTCAGCTTAGGTTCACTGATTCAGTATTAACTCACACTTAGGTAAGTCAGTCTCAGAAAATAAGGATTTAGGCGTTGACAAAAAAACTCTAATATTATTGAACAAAATTAAATTATGCTCTAATTTCAAAATTTTAAAAAATGCATCCGAATTAACAAAAGTTTTTTACTCTGTTGAACGCTCGTACTGAATAAAAGAATAGAATAAGGGCCACCATAAAGTGATGATGAATATTACCTGTTTCAATTTGGAATGAGAGGCGGGCGCTAAATACTCGAAACGCCATCAACCCTGCTAATACAACTACAATACTGTTTTATAAAACAGTGTTACATAATATATATAATAATTAAAGTTTTGCAGGACAATTTTGGCTGTGTTGTTGTGTTGCCCTGAGCATCCTGCAAGTGTTCGCTACCCTTCTGATGTTACCTGGTTTGCTTACAACTGGGCAAGTACTTTGGTTCTCATGTATAGTTGTTCCGCTGATCAGTATATCACTGATGTTCCGGAAGGTGGATACCAATGTGATGAAAAAACCGCAAGGAAGGATGCAAGCTGTCTCTCATTGGGATGTGAGTGTGTGCAATTAACACTTATTTATGTTCCTTAAGTGCGAATAAGCGTTTAGTCAGTTTATTCATCTAACTCCCAATTGGTCTCTGACTTTCAATTTCATATGTAGAAAATACAAGCATAATGAGTAACAATAATAATTATGAACCCTCGATTATAGTATAGAGAATGATAGGTAGGTCGAAGATCTAATATTATCAGTCCACTAGATGCGCAATTGCCTCACCGTTTTGTAACGAAGTATTTAAAGTCACATAAACGAGAGAAAGGACAATCGATGTGGCTGTATGCTTAACAAAGACGGATACAGTTTTCTCCGAACCATTAGCTGGTAGCAGCTCGTTGCCTCTCTCTTACTTATCGAATTCTTTGATTGGTTCTCACCATCATTCTTTTGGCACGATTAAGGTTCTATTTGATGTTTCAAAGCGTGAAATTGATTGCTAGTCATTGTGAGCATTGTCACTTCTGAGAATGAGGGAGATGAAATTTAACTTTTCTGCAACTGACACAAAAGTCGTCCATTTTAATACCAATATTAGCTCTTGAATAGACGTTTTTATTACTGACACAAACATAGGTATGTTGCTAGGCACACTTTTAGTTCCTAGGAGCTAAAGTTGAACCGCTAGACGCTCCGCCTCGCAAATGCAAAATTTGGTTGTCAAAGTGTCAATTTTGATCCTAATGAAGCAATCTACTATTTCATCAAGTACTTTTATTTATTAACGTGAAAGTAGTTAAATTAGTTCATCACGCTGCATGGCAAAATGTTTTCTCAACTGTATCTAATAATCAGCTGATTTCGTTGTGACATGTTGGTTCTTGCATATATCATTTTATGTTATTTTCATTCTAAGCACCATTCAGTTTGATATCATCAAATATTACTTTGTTATCTCTTAGAGCGCACGAAAAGAAATTCCTATGATGTTCAAAGAACATCGTGCATACCTAGGGAGGATAGCCATATTTCAGCCTGTCAAAATATTGAAATCAATACATGATGGTCTAAAATTGTCCCCTGATATTTTTGTGGTTGATAGTTGGCACATCCAAAATCATTTGATGTGTTGGTTAAAATGTAGATTGAGATCGGATCATGTAGTATGATATGGATTTTTTATTGAAATTGATTGGTGTGTCAGATTGATAAGAATATTTGTTATAAATAGCTATTAAAATAACGAGATTATAATAGTCGAGGACATTGCAATTTCCGAGACAGTGTTAAAGCATTAATAATCTAGTTACATTCAAAGCTTTATCGTATCATTGGCAATACCTCAAAAAATAGCTGAGTATCTCTCACTTGAGAAACCTTATATGTATTCTGGTCACTGCGTTAGATCTTCGGCAAATTGTCATGTTAATGCTAGAGAAGATATCTGTGGTGAGATGGCAAAACCAGATATGTCGTTTTTAATCATTTTTCAGGACAACGATTTGAAGTTTTCGAACTCACTATATAATTTTTATAAAATGAGCGATAGGAATAATTGTTCTTATCACTGGATAGTTGTGTGGAAATGTACGTATTGTTTAAGTATGTGAAATATGAATATGGTATATTTTTTAATTTTCGAAAAAAAAAAAGATTTTGTCAACATATCTGGTTTTGCCATCTCAAAATTCCCCAATATCATCGACATACTTAACATATTACTGATAAAGAGTAAGGGTAATGAAAGGAAAAAAAAATGCAATTTTTTCAATGAATTATGAATATAATACAATTTTAGTCCTCGGATTCGGAATCTGAGTTATCATTCAATTCATCATATTCCTTCGCTTTGCCACTTGTCGGTAGATTTTCGTAAAAATGATGACAGTCCTTGTCTATGAGGTCTAGCATCGATAAAAGGTCTTTTTTCTTCAAAGGGTTTATACCCAGTGGAACACTGTATGAACGTTATGTGCTATTGTTCCTTCTGTGTGTTACTCACCAAGTTTGAACAACAGTCGATGTCAATTCCAGTTAATTCTGTCAATGTTGTTCCTACAACCTGAGGAATGTCATCTGTTTTCTCATGATTCAAAGTGGAATTTGCATCATTCATCTCATCTATAACATTGAAGGATTCATGAGATATCAATGGAACATGGCCCGTATAATCGGTTTTCTCGTCTGATGGGTTATCTCTGTTATAAACATTTAATTCAGGTATCAAACTCCTGCAGCAGTGCGCAACCAATAATCCTCTGGATAGAAAATCTTTTCCACATTTGTTACAGATCATATTCTGAATTTACTGAAAAAAAAACAGGTTTAAACTCAGCGCTTATAGTAGGTAAATCACATCTGGGTATACTCACGTTTTTTGTCTCAACACTGATTACACAAAACTCAGTTCATTTATAAGAAAACCATGAATATGTAGGTATAGAACTGTTGAATCTACTCACAAAATCATACATTTCATTCACTGAATAACTCAAATTCTAACTTGATATCAATCAATGCTCACATTTAGTCGAAACTGGCAATCGAAATGGATTCCAACCTGAATAACATACCACTTCATCAGCAGTTTTATACACATACCCATAATATTCACTTGATGGTGAGACCAAATATGTGACATATCACATTGCGCAGAAATCATTTGCGGTGAGTGAACAAGTTGGCAAAATCAAATATGCATACATATCTTCATTTACCATCCTGAAAATTTGATATTGTTACTCGAATGAATCGAAGTGGGTAAAAGTATGTATGTCAACATGTTGTTTTTTGCCAACTTCCAAGCCGATACTCTAGACTGAGAATATCATTGTTACTTTATAATATATCAACATACATTATTTTGCCCTCTTGTAAAATCAATCATCCAAGAAAATCATTGACGCGAGATATTATTTATGCAACTCATGTGGTATTGCCAAAGTCAGGAGCATGTTTGTATTCGACATATTTGTTTTTGTCACCAAGAATATAATCATACAGAGATAGTTCTGACACAAATGGTTTTACCATCTTATAGATCTCATTATTACGAACATATAGGTGTAAAAAACTCAAAATGGCAAAATCTCGACATGTATGGTATTGCCATCTTACCACAGATATATTAGACCTACAAGAACTCGGTGGATGGGAATCGGCGAATACCCTCTATTCAGATGAAAGTGTGACCAAAAAAGTTTCCATTGCTCAAATGCAAATCGGTGATGTTTCCGGCAAAGGCGTATTCATCAAATTTAAAAATTGTCAAAATATTGTTTTTCATGTTCATGATAACTAGTTCTGATATTATTTGGTATTCAACGTATTGTATGCTTCCGTAACTAACCTATATTATGGTTTTATGAGTAACTAAGGTTTTATGAGTAACTAAGGTTTTATGTAGGTTTTGGTACTTTATGATTTTAATAATTATCAATAAAGATGTCATATAAAATGTTCTTAATTTCAATGATTCGATAAAGTTGATAAATATCTTCTTCTTAATTTCGTTCAGGGTATATTACTTGTGCATTATTACAATAATAGTGACTTGTATATACAGTTACTATTTCCTATGAACTTATTTTCGAAACTGAATAATTAGGGAGACATGCCCCTCTGATGGAGGGGATAGATATCAGTATCATCAATATTTTTATAAATTTCAATTGATTTCTAAGCGAGTTTTAATACTGCATGATGAATTTGAGGATGATATTTCAAAACCTTCTTTATGTCTGAATGGGTTTGTGATACCACAGTCAATTATTTGTTGACATTTTTCGATCGATGATCTTTCACTTTTCTATACATAGATATTAATTTTCAAAAATGAGGTTATAGAAAATAAGAGCTTGTTTTTGGATGTACTACCCGTTCCAAAAATATCTCATACAACTTTGGATCACCGTGTACAGTGGGTAAATTCCTACTGAAACAATATTTGTATTATCAGTTTCAAGAAAAAGTTTAGTAAGGTTTATTTAGCGGATGAATCAGAACAAAAAATTGAAACCACTTTTTTTTCAGGCAGGAATTTTCATCATCTGGTGCTATGGTACTAAGTTCCTTACAACATTCGTAGTTGTGTTAACATCGTTTATAGGAATTTTAACTAGTCATTGTGATCAAATGTGCATGGTCCTTCCTAATTGTACCTGTGCATTCTATTATAACCCTGTTATACTGACTGACATAGTGTCAATGGGAGGATGGGATGAAAACGAATGGACTCTTCTAACTGCCAGACTCATAATTAGTTTTATAATTTTACTTCATTTTGGTAAGTTATATTAATCATTGACAATTCCACAAAAAATCATATATTTTCAGAAATATCGAGAATTCTGTGAATCAAGAAAGATTTGAAAATTTTGAAATTCAATAAATCTCAAGACATTCCAAAATAGAAATACACAATCATCTATTGAGTAAAAATTTATTTGTGAAAGATCAAATTAAAATCTTCCTATTGGATTTTTATGCATTTGGATTTCATATCTTCAAAAAGCCGTGTTATACAGTAATTTATCCATTCTCCATATTTTTTATTGAGAAATTCCAAGAGAATTTTTCGAGGTGGAAAACTTTACCTAACTACCTAAATCAACCTCACTTTTCGGATATAAGTACAAATTATTAGAATCAAGAAGGAATCAGATTTTAATTTCACTGGATGGACGATTCAAGTACCTACTGCAAAATTTGACGAAATGGGATTCATGATCATACAGGTAGATACACGGATCCTCAACATCCAATAAAATCGTTAGCTGATAGGCAAACATGAATTCTTCAATTCTTCAACTTGTAACTTCGTCATCCAGTAAAGGAGATTTAAAAATTAACGCATTCACTCGAACCTCAGTAGAATGCAACATTTAAAATTCTGGTTTTCCCGTAGACTGTTCATCCACATATTGTCTTCAATTATATCATTATGTACTTTGAAAACAGAAGTTTAATCGAATTATTTTGCTCTTCTTTGTGTGAAACTCATCACTGTGATTATTTTTCTTCTTCATCATCTGTTGATCCCGATGCTAAATCGACTTGATATTGGGACAGTGCAGCAATTATTGGTATTTCGTTACTATATACTGTCTGTACCTCTAATATCGCTAAGATTTTGTGATATTAAAAGTACAATAGCGGCAATGTTGATAATATTTTTGTTTTATTCTTCCAGTTGTGATCTCTTCTGGGTTTATCCACAGAAATCATTTGATATTCAAAAGATCTCCTCATTCAAATATATTTTGGCTAACATCTGTTTTTATCTTGTAAGTAGTTTTTTTGTTTGTAAAGTATGAAGATTTCAAATGAATTTGTTTCAGGATAGTCATCCAATCTGTATATACCATAATAGTTTATACTAATATCAGAGAAATACAGGAAGACAACAAAGAATTTGAAATTCCCCTGTGGGTTATAATTTTCGCTGCTCTATCTCCATTATTTGTATTCATCGTCAATGAACTTGTCAAGAAACAGGAAATTATGTAAGTAGAATGTACAGTGCATTCCATTTTGGTTGAGACTGCCAGGTTTCTCGGTTGTTATTGAAGATAGAACCTTGCGGTTTTCACGTTCGTGTCCTACTTTTTTGAAAAATTCAAAATAGCCTGATCAGATTTTGCATAACTGTGTATGAGATACAGAGGGATTTTGAAAATGCATACTTCTTGGTCCCCTTCTATATCTACATCTAAAAGAAAATTTCGCGCAAAATCCGGTGGCGTACTCAATATTTTTTCTCGGAAACTAACAACCTACCTACTTGTGTTCAATGCTTCTTTTGTAGGCAACGGAAAATTAAATAGGCAATGTAGATGCAGATATAGACAATAGTTTATTGTTTTATATGAAGGTGAAGTTACATTTTCTGTGGCTTGTTTCAATTGTCATACTTCAAGATCAAACAACTCAAAGATAGTCACAAAGCAAGTAGCAATTGCTACTTGTATAGATATACCCGCACATCTAAAACAGCTGATTTGTGTTTTATTATTGTTTTCGATTATAGTTAGATTATACACTTCCTTGAGGAGGCATTTTGATAAAAATCATAGTATTGAAGAAGGCAACCATGAATTCATTCCACATTAAAGTAAAAGTTGTTTAGTACCTTTAGGTATAGAACTGAACTGAAAAAAGTTACCATTGATAGAGAAGGGTCTTGAAACCATAACATTCGATGCAACATTGGAATTATCATTAGATTTCATAATAATGAGACTGACAATTATTTTTATAGTTCAATAAAGAGACAAAGCTGCATGAGATACCTACAGCTATTATTTCGTTTTTTTACTCACTTTTAGAATTATCAGTTTACAGTATGTTGATTAGCTTAAACAAAATTTGCGTAATTTCACCCATTCGATATGACGTTTTGCAATTTATAAAAATTACAGCCGTTCTGAGTTATTTTGAAAAAACTGAAAATCGCTTATTTCGTTATTTATTTTTTTGGGTTATATTGGAGGAAAAATATTGTATTTTTGTGCAAGCAGGTCATCAATCATGACAAAGAAGTTGATATTGTCAGAAAAATTCTATCTTCAATATTTTCATTCACTTTGAAACTTTTGTTCTTCTCATGGGCGCCATATTTGGTTTTCATACAATTGATAAATCATAATATACGGGGTGTCCCGAAATGGCATAGAAAGATTTCAAACACAGATTCCAGGACCAAAAACAGTATAAAAAGTTCATATAAACGTGATCCCAGAAATGTCCCCCTCGGGAGTTATAGCCATCTGAGGCTATATTCCGAATTCAACTGACAGTACTGAATCTGCTGAATTTTCATTCCGAAATCAAAAAAATTGACTGAAAGTGACAGATACTAGTGAGCAGATATACTATACATTCCAAATATTTCGACTCAACATTCTGCTGAAATTGCTGACTATCTAAAGGTAGTGTGGCTTCAGTGAACTGTCATTATTTCTGAGGAGAAAGGAATGACACATTCATTTCCGTTGTTTTCCAAACATTAAGTCTTGGCTTATCAATAATACATTAATAATATCATTTTGATATCAGAAAATGCCTGTTATTTTATTAGCTCAAGCAGGAGCATCTGCCAGATCAATGACAACTGACAAATTTCACCAGCTGATCAACTGCTGCTGATTACTGATGAAAAAGTGTTCCGAATTACAGCACTGTATTTTTGATTTTATATTCCGGAACACAGCTTTTCAGCAGAGTCAGTGAATCTACTGAGGCTATATTCCGAATTCAACTGACAGTACTGAATCTGCTGATTTTCCATTCCGAAATCAAAAAATTCACTGGAAGTGACAGATGTTTGTCAGCAGACATACTATTCATTCCGAATATTTCGACTCAACATTCTGCTGGAATTGCTGAGTATCAAAAGGTAGTGTGGCTTCAGTGAACTGTCATATTTCAGAGGGGGAAGGAATGTAACATTCATTTCCGTTGTTAATGAAATCATTCTCAATATCAGAAAATACCTGGAGTATGAAGTAGTAGAGCAGGTAAGGAAAGGAGCAGCATTGGCTAAATACACTGAATAAACCTGGAATGTCTCCTAAAATTCATCATTATTAGGGCACATTGCGATTTTCATGAATCTCAATTCTCAATCTGGTGCATCATGAAAAATTGATGGCAACAAAATGTACAAGTATTCTTCATCACTCGAGCTTGAATCGCCATCGTCAACAATCGTAGAAACTATAGAGGATACAAGAATCGATTTCTCTTCCAAGTAAAATATTGAATTTCCAAAATTTATAACAAGTAGGAGACTAAACATCTAGTTCAGATAAACGAGAAACTACTACTGATGAAAACCATGAAAACGTGTCCCGAATTACAGTAGTGAATTTTTGATTTTATATTTCGGAACACAGATTTTCAGCAGAGTCAGTGGATCAACTGACAGTACTGACCAGTTGAATTCGGAATATAGCCTGACAGTACTGACCAGTTGAATTCGGAATATAGCCTGAAAGTGGGCCCGAGATGATGGTTTTTTTGTTAATATTTCCTGTGTTGAAATAACGAAATTTTTTACAGCATGTATATTACTTTTCATGCCGAGTACCTACCCATTTCCTCCTTTTATTGATATTTCTTGAAAATTAATGAATCAAAATGATAAATTTTTGTATAAGTATAAATTCTCAAAGCTCAAAGTCATTTCCACAAATGTTCATAAATAAACGAAACTGGTAGATAACGATAGAAAAACAACTACTTTCCTGGCTATATGCCACGCAGAACATTGAATTATATCCTCAAATCTATGCAGTGATTCGCACAGACGAATAAAATCGCAAGTGTTTCCCTTCTAAATGCTAAAATGTGCTTAAATTGTTCAGAAACGGTTGACTACCTACAGACCGGTTTCGAGCTTTATTGGCTCCCATCAGTGCAGGTTTGCCTTCAGATAGCATTCATGACCGCTATCTGGTGCGAACCTGACTCCAACTAAAACACATCCCAGCATTTAATACCCAAGAGGCGTACGGCATCTGCGAGATGGACGAACGCCACCTGAGCAGAAGCACAGTAAGAAACACTAAGAACGATTTTATTCGTATGTACGAATCATTGCATAGATTTCGGGAGGATGTAATTCAATGTTCTGCGTGGCATCTAGTAAGGAAATTAGTTTTTTCCTCTCGTTATCTAACAGTTTCGGAACATTTGTGGAAATTACTTTGAGCTTTGAGTATTTATGCAACATTTCATTCCACTTTGAGCATTTTGGCTTTCCTTATATGTTGATCACACCTTTGTATTCTGCTTTTCATGTGTCCATTTGACAGAGATTCTACATACCATTGAAATTTCGAAATTTTAAATTTGAATTGCCTTTGTCATGACATGAAAACACTGAACGTGGCAGAACTTTTGCATTTTGTGAACTGACAGAATCGTAAATTTTGCCAATACAGAAAAACCAAATAATGATATCCAATATCAATCCAAGAAGTCATCTTGAATTTGCGAGTTTGATATGGAATCCTTCGTATCAGAAGTACATTCAACGAATTGAGAGTATCCAAAAAAAATTCATTTTCCACTTAAATAATAGATTTAACAGGCATCTACACTTCCATGGTTACGAAGCTAGTCTTCGACATTATAAAATCCTAAAACTCAGCTCACGTAGGTCTATAAGTTATTTAATTTTTCTCCACAAGCTGATTATTTCCAAGATAGATTGTAGTTCAATTTTGGGCCGATTATGTTTAAATTCCAAAATCAGTCACGAGAAATAATAACCTAATTTATCACATGAATGCATGTGGAAATTCACCTATCCGTCAACTAGAAAAAATTTATGATTTATATTTTTCTCATATTGATCTCTTTTGTTTATCTCTCACTACAGCCAGACGATTAACGATTGAAGTATTCACTTGAATGGAATTGAATTCATTGTTTCTTTACTAAATTTGCATTATATAACTATTAATTTATTATAGGATAGATTAGTGACTAGTTAAGAATATAATAGCGTGTGACTAAAATTTATTACTAAGCATTTCTGTAATTGGGATGTTAACTCATCCTGTTGAAGTGCCTTGAACATAAATAAATAAATAAATAAATAAATAAATAAATAAATAAATAAATAAATAAATAAATATGTCAAAAGCATTACTCAGCGTAAAATGGTCCGTTGAAAATTGGTTTAATTTCCAAAAAAGACATCGCATCTTCAAAAACGTCAATAATTAGAGTGGTCCACTTGTTTCCTTGAGCATTTTACATTGATATTGTTGTATCTTTTCAGGGTGAATGAAAGGTTTTTGAAGAGAGCTCGCCTAGACTTTGGAACAAAATTAGGAATGAATTCACCGTTTTGAAACATCCTCGAGCAGAATATGGCAATATTTCATGTTGTGATTCGGCAGGGTGGTTCACCATGGAAAACAGTGGATCGTCGACGGCGAAATGTTAGCTAAGTGGATTTTTCAACATATTGTTGAGTCTAGGATAGAGATAACAATTGAAATGAAGAAGCATTGCATCACATGCTAATGAACTTGACTGAGTTAGTAAGTAGGTAGGTAGGTACTTAGTCAATATGAAGAGCAAAAATAAAACGAATTGATAGACGCGATATACAAGAATAAGTACTCACGAGAGGACTACCAATGCAGTAATTTCAAGAAAACAAACGATCAAACGAACTTACCTATGAAGTTCGATCGTAATTATACTAAGTGTCTCGCCCGAAAAGATCAATTTATTACTATTAAGTACCGCTTTTAGGTGCTAAGCTGGTCACACGTTCTAAGCAGTGACACTTTTGTTCTGTGTGTCTATGGTTGTATGATTCGGCGCCTACTCTATACACTTAAATGTTCTATGCCAATCTACTTCATTACTTTTTAAAGTTTACAGGCATGCAGTTTTTGTTTGTTTTGGGGTGGTAATTTCAATTCCTAATCCCAGGGAGGGAGGGATCTTTATTACTATGTAGTTGTTTGAAGCCATAAAATGTTGCTCCCTGTCTCTTATTTCAATCACAATAGAATATTGTTATTAAATCTACCGTTTTCAGACAAACGTGCTTCATTTTCATTTGAACATAATTTTTCGTATTTATTTCTTCAGTATGGCTTTCATAAACATATTTGGGTCATGATGTATTGGCCGATTGTGAATCTTAGCAAAGATTTCTTCGACCATCCTTAGAATTCCTTATCGCATCCCATGATACTCCTTGTCTAGCAGCTGCTGACGTGGAAGGGTGACGAGTTGATAAGGCCAAAAAAATATTAGTATCCACTTCTGCTTTCCCTGATATTTCTTTGATCCATCTTGCAATTATTGTGGCCCTGCTGGATCGCTGAGTCTTTGGCTGCTATGAACAGATATCCATTTGTCTCTGATCTGTATTTTGCTGTTTTTTTTACATATCATAACAGGGTTGATGCAGAACAAAGGTGAGGTCTAGCTCCAACGTATAGCAACTCCAGACATGATTGTCCTGTTTTGAATTTGATTCGATTCCATCAGAAATGTATATACACGCTCCCTTGCTGTCAAATATTATATTTTCAACCCTAATAACATGGAGGGTATGAATTCTTTGACCTGTAACCAGAGCCAGTAGCATAACAAGCTTCTTACCAAGGATAAAAAGAAATAGATCTGCATTTGGTCCCAATGGGTCAATGTATTCAACAACTATATCTGGGTTTCATGTTATGTTGTATTTAGGTCTTTGTAGCCTCATTCTAAACACACATTTCAGGAAACGTCTCATTAATAAATATTTACTACTTTCTCCAAGGAAAATTAGAGGTAATGCATACCTGTGCTGGTTAAAAGTACCATATTTTGAGTTTTTCTTCTGAATCATATATTTCCTGTTGCAATGCGCTGAACAGAGGGAACAAATTCCACCGTTTTTGCTCAAATTAGCACTTGAATCTTCATGGCTGTCGTCTTGATGTCTATCTGAACTTCCTTCGTGAATGAACTTTTCATCGGCTGGGTATTTGGATGATAGGTAAAAGTTTTCTCCATCTGAATTTTCTTGTGTGGAATTTGTACTGCAAATTTTGATTTCTTCTGACTTTGACATTTTTTTTCTTTTTAGATGTCATGCTTTTCTGACTTCTATATTTAAAGAAATACCTACGTTCAGATACTGCTGAATTTGTTATTGAGATTATTGAGAATTTGAAAAGGTAATAATGATAGTGATGTGAATACTTTTAGTGAAATCGTAATTTTCGTATTTCGCGAAAGTTCAATGGCCCCTAAATTTTAAAGACTGATTACTTTTATTGGACCTAGGCTTATATTTAGGTTTATTAGCAACATGATATTTATATGTGTTTAACAGCATACTTCAGATCCTTGCCAGAATTTTCAACTGCTTTGGCAACCTTAATTTTCTCCTCTCACTCTCTCTCTCTCTCCTATTGGAACTTCAGAAGACAAGTTTTTGACTGTTTTGTTCAAGTATAGAGCAATCAAAGCACGTCTACTTAGAGACATTCGATAAAGCAAGTCATTAAGAATCTTACCTGTTTCACTAAGAGACAGCAATAAATTGTTTCTGATCTCAGATATCTCTGTACTTAGTGTACTTCTATTAGCCATCAATGTATTCAACCAAGTTGGTTCTGTTTTCCTGATTGGAATTCATCATTTCGAGTTGCCTCTTCATATAGAATGGTATGAATTTTAGGGTTAAGGTCTGGGGCATTCAAAGTTCTCAGATTTGATGGCATATTGTATTTGGAAAGAAGATCATGTTTTCCCTCTATCGCATGACCTTGACTGAAAATGATATCCCATATATTTTCAAATGATGAATGATGTATTCCAAATGTTTTATCATCCTTCTTGTATTCTCCATGTAGTAGAATTTCCATATCTAGGGGATTTACAGTGGATGTGCCTCTTGCGTCCTAAGGTACAGGCACACTTGAACTTGCAGATACAGGCGGAATAGCCGGCTCTTGTCTACTACTTCCTGGAATCTGTGATTAACTTTCGGTATTTACTGGACTTGACGGCTTTTCTCGGGCCTGTGGCCTGCTAGTTAAGATAGCCATGTTTTCCTGATTGATGATTGTATTTTAATTGTTTTTCCTAGTCTGTGACTTTCCATAGGTGCTACGGTCTTGCGCCTGTGGCGTTCTAGCAGTGCTAGCATTGGACATCAACCTATCTACATGTGCCATATACGCACTAATGTACGATATAGATATTCTCTATTTGTTTCCATAGCGCAAAAGGCAGCCGTTTTTGAAGACAAATGACTATCCAGAAGCCTAAGGTATGCGCAAGTATTATCCCCAATAGAAATAACGTTACTACCCGCAGATCAAATCGACCCGTAGTAAATGTTAATGTTGTTTTCAGCTTCATAAAAACGATATTCAACTATGCATGTGATATTTATTATAGATATACATTGAAATAAGAGAAAAAAATTGAAGCAGATTCTTTTTCGCACACTGTCCAGAAAGAGGGATTGAGCACTTGAAGCAGCTATTGCTGGCTTCCCTGTCATTTCGACTGGGACATACACCGCATCTTATCCTTTTTGATGCACCAACTCTTTGTTGAACCCTAGGTGGTACCATGGGATGTGTTGGAATCGGTATTTTCATTATTCCAGATGCAATATAGCGAACATTGTATGGTACTCTCGGATTTTCGATTCTTTGGGACAGAAAAGGTTCGCATAGTTCTAGTGCAAGTTTTTTTATAAACAAGCTACTTGGAATGTCGACAGACATCTTTTACAATATGTGAGCGTTTACACCCGCAATATTTGTTGTTGCGTGGAAAACTACCATTAGCCATCTTCTTGTTCGTCGAGAAGTACTATAATTAGCACATTTCTCATCCAATGCATCCACTTCTGCTTTAGTACTATTGTAGAAATGGATAATTTCTGGTTTCTTAGTTTCGCGATTGATTGTGTCAGTATGATGCATACTTGAAATAAGTAAACTAACTGCCCTTCCTTTTTTGGAACATATGAAACTAGGGTGCTATTTGAAGTGAAGCCAAACATTGAGGACTTCTCTTCTACAATTTGCAAAAAATTCTTTTTTTTTCTACATTCCCCGACTACCTCTAGTGTCGTGTACCAGTTATCAGCGGTGATGTTCTGGTTGCTGCCACTATGGAAAGTATCAACCTGAAGACAATTTGTGTAGGCAAAGAAAGGGTGTGTTTATTCTTGGGTTGTCGAGTTTCATTTTGAGCACCATCTTAAATTTCAGAATTTATCAAATAATGGGTTTCCGAATCTGCAGGGATTTTAAACTCGATTCCATATTCAGCTGGTTTATTTGGTATGTATGTACATCTTGAAACCACAACAACCTATAAAAGGTACCAGCATTCCATCAATGGTTCCATATGGTCCTGGGTTATAGTTACTAGTACATTTACTGACTGAATTTGATACGCCTTTCTTGAAACTTTCATATTTTTCTCTTGCCTGCTTGCATCATCAATCAGGTATTTTCATGCACTGATATGTGTTTGAGGAGGATGAGCCTAGCAGGACCAAGCAAACTTCTTGTAGATCGTATATTATGTTCGATGATACACATTTTCCTCTCTTGGGGGGAATTTTTGCCCATTTGGTACTATCCATTCCATAAAATGATCGAGAGAAATCGGTTTGAGACGCATTTGATGAAGAATCATCATCCTCAGATGAATGATCAGAAGCAGACAATTCCGAGTCAGATTGGTGGTCACTCTGTTCAACTTCGGTAATTTCTTCCGAGTCATCGTCATCATCTGAGGCGTAGGTTAGGAGTTTTTGGATTGCTTCCTTGCGTTCTACAGATATCGACTCTGAAGTAGATGGATCTCCTTCATCCTCAATAACGGATTCTCCTTCGCAACTTTCCCCAAACTGATCATGACTTGGAATTGAGCTTTCTTGATGGAGTATGATCTGAGGATTCCGAAATTGAATCACTTGTGTCGGACTCTTCGCTGATCGACATGGAATATGGATGGCGTCTCTTGAGTGTCTTTTTTAGGTTGTAAACTTCCCTCTCCAAGTCCTTCCTTGTTTTTTTCTCATTAGCACCATATTCCCGGTCTGAATAATAACTTGAGTCTCTTTTTCTTTCACGATGTTTAGCCATTTAGGTAATTCAAATAGATTCAAATTCTTTACACATTTTCAACGTTCAAACAACGTCGCACGAAAAATGCGAAATGAAGTAGAGCAGAGCAGGCACAGAATCATAAAACCATAGACACACCGAACGAAGGTGTCAATGCTCAATAAAGGCGGTACTACATAGTAATACTGTGATCTTTTCGAGCGAGGCGCTGTTGTATAATGGCAAATGATCAGACAACATGATTTTATCGTCCGAAAGTAGTACAAATGATGGAAACCCATCAATTCGCAGGCACAATGGCCTTTACTAGAGTTCATTAGTCTTGACGATGTTGTATATTTGATTGTCTTTATTACCCCAAGAAACATTATTGTTTATATTAGGGATATATACAACAAAACATACATATAACATAATAAATCGAAACAATAATAATTGCACAATTATTGTTTTTCATGAAAAAAAAATTATAATAAAATATAAAATGAAAATAT